TGCAAGGAATATATACTGAGGTGCCATTCTTATTTTGTCCTTGGTATCGTTGTTTGCTTCATTCTATAGTCTCTAATTTTCTTTCTGTTATCATGAAACATTCCAATTGGAAACTTCTCATAGAAAGCTAAGCACATATCCGTGTATCTTCCTGGAGATCAGTCATGGTACGACGTTAGAACCGGAACTGCATACAAGGGAGGAGTGACTCACAAGTTGGAAGCTTCTGAAGATAGTGTTCCTGCTTTCCAACGGGCTGGTACAATTTTACCAAGGAAAGACAGGTTTCGTCGGAGTTCCACACAAATGGAGAATGATCCATACACTCTGGTATGCCTTTAAATCTTTAAGTGGATCTGTCGTGAATTCTTATGGTTACATCACTTCCTTCTCTTTCTCTCTGTCTCTCTTTCTCACACACGCTCACAAGTGCACATGCTAAGGTGCCTATCTATATCAAGAGATCCATCTATGAGTTCTCATAATCTGACTAATCTTCATATTACTTACATATAATTGGTTAGATAAATTTTTCTCCATTAAATATATAGTTTTTTTTTCTTATTTTACCCACAGGTACTATTTTTACACCAATTTAGCCACTATACTTGCTTGTATTGACTTCCATCCACATTGGCCGTCAAAGGTCAATAGTAGTAAACACACATGATTCCTCTACTACAGAATTGGAAATTTGTTTTTAGATGATCTTCCTCAAGTCAATCATAGCACTGGATTCTGTTATATCCCAATTTGAAGCGTTTGTATTTGCTTTTGACACCTTATAATTATTATAGAAGAACTCAATTCAATCCAATTGTGTTGTCTCAGATTTGTCTGGGGTCAGCATTAAAAGAAAATATTATCAAGCCAATTTATACATTACCTGATGTAATGACTTCTTTATCCCAGTGGAGTCATGTTGTGGGGATGAAACTTAGCTTCCGCCAGTGTCATGTTCTCTTGAGCTTTACTGTATCATTTTGAAGGTCTTTGGAGAAGAGAAGGCATCAATAAATAATTTTTTTGGAAGTTTAGATTTCACAGATATATCAGCAAATGATGAGGAATTTGTTCGCTAAATTTGAAAATACTTTCATTTCTGTGTCGCGGCATTGTGGATATCACATTCATTTTATAGCTTTGAATGATTGCAAAAAGAGGACCAAATTCATTTAGCTCAGCGTCCTCTACGATTTATTAATACACCATGTGTGAAGTCCCAAATTTTTACAACTAGTTAGAATTAAAGTTAGGATTTAAGTGCGCTATTATTAAAGTTTAATGACCTTATTGATTTATTGTTCTAGTCTAATGACCTTATTAGTTATTGACCAATAGTTTGAGGGCCTAAGTAGAAAGTTATTTTGAAAGTTAGATGAAATCATGTATAAAACATATGTAAATATGCCAATCGGTCTTGATTAAAAATGATTTATTGACAACATGTATTATTCACACCATATTTCAAGCCAATGTAATTTATTTGACCATGTAAATAAATGAAATTGATTTGACCACACGCATTATTTACACCAAGTTTTACGCTAGGTGAATTTGTTTGACTACATGATTAAAAGTATTGATTTGACAATTTTCATGATTATACATCATTTATGTATTGATCATGCCTAACATTTAGCCATTTCCTTTCTCTTTCCTACTATTGTTCAAGAATTTTCACTATAAATAGGAGACAAACCCAACACTAAACTACCCTTCAACAACTATTGCACACTCTCTCTACATCCCTATAACTTTGTCTCTCCACTCCCGCTCTTTCTCCTGTCATTTTTATATTAAATATAGTCGTATATTTATACAATCAGACATAAATAATCACCCCCACATGCGGCTCAAGGATTTCTTTTCAACAAATAACTCACTTTATCTTTTTGAATTGTCCATTGAAAAGGTAAGTTGTACTTTATGCTTATGGTGGCTAATGTTTATGATGTAATATTTCTACGGCTATGTTACCATGAGTAGCCTTGACATTGAAATGAACTTTCAATGATTCAAGTTTCTGTTCTTTGCAGGTCATTGCTCTTAACGGTTCCCAGGCAGCTGAAGGGTGGCTTTATGTTGACGACGGGAAGAGCTTTGAATTCCAGCGAGGAGCATATATCCATCGCCATTTCATTTACTCTGATGGAAAGCTTTCATCATATTCAAACATGGCCTCTGCAGGTTTTGGCAAATTTGCCTCCGAGTGCATGGTTGAGAGAATAATACTTCTAGGATTTTCTCCTGGAACGAAAAAAGCCTTAATTGAACCAGCTAATGAAAAGGTGGATATCGAACTCGGGCCCCTCCTGCTTCAAGGGGGACTGGGCTCATCTGTTCTCACCATCCGCAAGCCTAATGTGCGGGTAACAGATGATTGGACAATTAAAATTTTGTAAGATACTTCTTAGTCCAACATAGTCATCTGCATCAGGTGGAAGGACCTTGTTAGTATCATGCTATTGAATTGATAAATGAAATTTTCGGCCGCACATTAAGTGAGAGAACGACCTTTTGGAGCAATATAGATTAGTAGGCAATATAGATTCTGTATGCTACAACTTATTCCTTATTTCCTATTTGCAGTTTTGAATTTTGTGTTGGGTTGCAGTTCTTGGTGCTGGAAAATTGATTCACGCTCACTAAATATGTTGCAAGTGATTGTGCAAATTGAGTTTAATAATCATGCAGGAACTAAAATCTACATAGCTTCATTCCAGGCTATATATTGTTATAACTTGATAGGGTGCATTTCTCCTTTAAAACTGACTTATAGAGGAGTGTTCAAGGTATTATTAGCCCACAAGTTGATTATGTGGGACAAAATTAGATCAACTCTCTTCTGAAAATTGATCCATTGTGGTCTATGCTGTTAACTAGTTGATTTTTTGAACCAGTTGGACAACCCTTTTCATGTTGTTCTGTCTGCAGCGAGTGTCATCCCTACAAGGGTGTGTAGGAGTAAAAATTACAGTCATTACATGAAAGAACAAAGGTTACAAAGCTAAGGCAAAATCACCATTACGAGGAAACTACAAGCCTGATATTAGGAAGTAAAAATGCTTAAGAAAGGAAGGAAAGGTATTATGAATAGTAAAACTGATCACTTGGTGTTACTGTATTTCCTTTGTGGTTGGTGGGCCGAGGTAGAAAAAGAGTGGTTATGAAGGAATGTAAGAGAAAAACAAATCACACGAGATATCCACCAGTCTTTCTTCTCCTGTATCTGTTTCTTCTATTTCATAAAGCCCGAGACTGAGCAATGATAGGTTCTACACCAATTAATGGCTCCTATCATCATTATTTAGACTCTCTTTTGAGGCTGTAAACTGTTGTAAAGATTTGAATTTATATTATTATATTCTAAGTGTGTGGATTATTTTGTTTACTTTGTGCAAATTGTATAGTTGGTGTTTAAAGGAATAACCTTTGTTATAAATTGTGAACTTAATGATACTCCATTGACCCTGTGTGAGTGTGTGTGGCCAACGTTGAAAAGGTATATGGATTTTATTTTAGTCCACTTTGTGAGGTATTGAACTATCTTGTGCTAATGATACTGGCGCTTTAGTCCCTATTTTATTTTTTAAATAGATTTCTCTCGTTTCCACCGTGAGCTCGAGTTTTGATTATTTATAGTCTATTCTTGCCGATCTTGAATATGCATAAATGTATCCCAAAAACTAACAGCATTCATTGAATAATCATAGTCAAGCCTTTAATTTCATCTTAATAATGCTATCTAACACCAGTTTAGGTGGTACTATATGATAGACTCAATGAAAGGTGAAATTGAGTGACACATTTAATTGTACTTATTATTAGTATCACAGTAGTGTCACATAAATTGGTGTCTTAACACCAAATGTCCTAAATAGCACACTCATTTCATCTAGTCTATCCGGTCGGGTAAAATAATTATATTGTAACAGTTCATTTAAACCTCAGAGTTTCATATGTTGGGAAATATCATAACTTGATCTGGTTATGTATCCACGTAGTTGAAAGTTGGAACCTCTGGTTGCAGGTATATTTGTGTACAGCCAGGTGAAAGAACAACCAGTGAAAGTGGTTTCTTTAAGGGGTTTGACTTCCTAATTGAGTGGTGGGTCATCCATGCAGCATAACCTAAATATTCCTTAATTTTTTGGCAATCAGCTATTAACCTGCCCACATTCACAATTCAATTGTGAACTTCCAATTCAACAACTGAATGATGAAAATTGGTTAAATCATGCAAGAAGATGAAGTCCTAAGTTACTATCAGAATCAATGTGGACCTTCCTCAGTGCTAAAAGGTGACGACTCACTGCAAATTCGGACCAAAAATCACTGGTTAATACGAAAACAATCAAATGCTTTTTGAATGAATCGAGAACCATTTGAAATAAGAATGCCGTCTAATATTTTCGAGTGCAACACTATTTAGCATTGCTTACCAAATATGCACATTAATTTTGACCGTACTTCATAAATTGTATATAAAGATTCATTAATAATCTAAGGTATGACTCAAAAGCATCAATTCTCTTTCAATAGGAATGGATGGGAGGCTTGCATGTCTAAATGCAGTACAAAGTATACTTTACTTAAGATACAATAAGATTTTATAACTTATAAGCAGTGGTTTAAAGTCAATTTTCTCTCTATATAAGCCTCAGGCAAACACTGTATCAAGTAACACCCTCTTTGTACATAGTTTCGTTCCTCAGATTTTGAGGGAGAGGGCAAAATATTTGCAAAACCACTAATAATTCAGTTATATTTCAGACCTTTTCTGTTTTCTTTTAATGTTACTTGTAATGTGGACTCTTCGTTCAACACAAACGCTCCAAACACTCGACTCATGCATGTGTTGAAAGGCCTAATCTTCTGTATTGAAAACGACGTCTGTCCATGGCAAGTTGATTACTATGCTTAGTAGGCAAAAGTAGTCTGCATTGTACAAATCGGTTAGTCTTCGACCTGATTGATGGGGAGTGAAGATGAATGTGCGGGTGTGTAAGCGTTGACGTTGATAAATGTTCTTCATTGTTGTGATTAAATGCTTGAAGATTTTGTTTAGTACAAATGACCTGTCTTTTTCTATTGGGACCACGTTTCACGTGCTTTTACATTTTTAGTTGTCGAAATTTGTCAAAAACTGTTATATATACCACCCTCAAACCTTTACCCTATGCATCTTAAATTTAGCCATTGCAATCCTGTTCAGGAGTAGCATTTATGGTCTTGAAATAGTTGGTAACAAGTCTTCTGATATAAACTCTCTGGTATTTTGTACTGATAAAACTATTCTTCAATATATTGTTCTTGCAAGTTCTTTCCAACATAGTTTGTGTTATTGCTGTCAAAAAAATCCTGCAGCAAGAATTTACAAAACTCGAACTCATTGACTGATAGAAGTGTGTACTTCTGGCTTCCTTCGAAATACAAGATGGGAGAGAGTGCTGCCACCAATAACCACCGCCAGCACGGCCAAGCATTTGACATTTCTGTCGACGTGCCACCACATTTTAGCTCCAAGGCTATTGATGATGATGGTCGACCCCAAAGAACTGGTACATATCCCTCAACATCCTATCCACCCCTTAATAAGTAATCAAAGATAATCACTATTTAAGTCTCCTAATGTTTATTTCTCTCTTTGTAGGGACTGTTTGGACTGCCAGTGCACACGTAATAACCGCGGTGATTGGATCCGGAGTGCTTTCCTTGGCGTGGGCTATAGCCCAGTTGGGATGGATTGCCGGTCCAACCGTGATGTTCTTATTCGCCTTTGTGATTTATTACACCTCAACTCTCCTGGCTGATTGTTACCGGTCTGGGGATCCCCTATTTGGCAAGAGAAACTATACTTATATGGATGCTGTTCGGTCCAATCTTGGTACACTACTATACCTAGAAAATTCATCAGTGTGACATGAATAGTTCTCCTAAAAGTTTGTTCATTTTTCTTTATTAGGCGAATCTAAAGTAAAGTTATGTGGCCTAATTCAGTATATGAATATTTTTGGAGTGGCCATTGGATATACAATTGCAGCATCTATAAGTATGATGTAAGTATAATTCTTGAAAGAGATTTTATGTTTAATCTCTTGTAGCCTTTGAATATAATTTGGTATGGCTATTGCAATGAGCAGGGCTATTAAAAGATCCAATTGTTTCCATGAGAGTGGAGAGAAAAATCCATGTCACGTATCAAGTAATCCATATATGATTGGATTTGGGATTACACAACTACTATTTTCTCAGATTCCTGATTTTGATCAAATATGGTGGCTCTCAATTGTTGCTGCTGTCATGTCCTTCACATATTCTTCAATCGGATTAGGCCTCGGAGTTGCAAAAGTTGCAGGTTCCTATTGTTCGGTTTTGCATAATTCAGTGATTCAAAAAGTTGTTTGATTAATTACTAAACATGGTTATATTAATTTCGTACTACACAGCTAATGGAACCATAGGAGGAAGTTTCACTGGAATAAGCATTGGAACTGTGACTCAAGCACAAAAAATATGGAGGAGTTTCCAAGCTCTTGGAAACATTGCTTTTGCATACTCATTTTCAATCATCCTCATTGAAATTCAGGTATTTATTCGAAAACATTAAGGGTATGTTTAATACTATCAAGTTCACGAGATGAGCATTCCGTTTCTTCGTCTCATAATAAACAGGACACAGTCAAGTCCCCACCATCAGAGGCAAAAACAATGAAGAAAGCCACACTAATAAGCACTTCTGTAACAACACTCTTCTACATGCTGTGTGGCTGCATGGGCTATGCAGCATTCGGAGATCGTTCCCCCGGTAACCTCCTAACCGGATTTGGATTCTACAACCCGTATTGGCTTCTCGACATAGCAAACGCGGCCATTGTAATCCATTTAGTCGGAGCCTACCAAGTTTACTGCCAGCCACTCTTTGCCTTCATTGAAAAGTATACAGCAGAAAAATGGCCAGAAAACAAGCTCATAGCCAAAGATATCAAAATCCCAGTTCCATTTTTCCAACCATATAATCTAAACCTCTTTCGATTAGCCTGGAGAAGTGGATTCGTAATTTTAACCACTGTTATATCAATGCTTTTGCCTTTCTTCAATGATGTTGTGGGAATTCTTGGGGCATTTGGATTCTGGCCATTAACTGTGTATTTCCCAATAGAAATGTATACTGCACAGAAGAAGCTAGAGAAATGGAGTTCAAGATGGATTTGCCTGCAAATGCTGAGTGTTGCTTGTTTGATAATTTCAGTTGCTGCAGCAGCTGGTTCCATTGCTGGTGTGGTGCTTGATCTTAAGGTTTACAGGCCATTCAAGACTAGCTATTGAGTTGCTTGATCTTAAGGTTTACAGGCCATTCAAGACTAGCTACTAGATTATTAATATGTGATTTGATGGTGTTGTTGATATGTACTTTTGTTTTGAATTTGTCTGCAAATAATCAGCAGCCTCATAGTAAAAATGGCAATGAATTTGACCTTTGTTCATTCCATATTTAAAACAAGCATTTGATTTCACATTGAATTTTTTTATGCTACTTAAATTCGACAAGTGGATCTACGTAAACAGATTCTGTCCAAAAAAATAAAAAAATAAAAACAATTTCTAACTAATCCATCTCATGATTTTTTTTTCGAAAGATGATTATTATTACCTAAATAAAGAAACAACATGATTTTCGCCGAATATAAATCTCCCTTTCCAAAGCTCCAGGAGAATGTTCTCATGAGAAAGAGTATAATAGTTTCAAATGCATTATGATTACTAGATGGCTAATATGTTGAATGGAAAAACAAACGGTTTTTGTCCAGTAAGGATCCACATAAATTAAAGATCAAGGGTTGGGGTTGTGGGTGCCAGAATAATTTAATTCAAACTCAAATGTTTAATTTGTCAAAATTTGAGGACTTTCCTTGTAAATTTTCGAAAAAAAAAGTGGGACACACCTAAACTGCACCACTCACTCATTATCATGAATTGCATGCATAAAGATAAGCTGTAAATGAATTTGTGTATATGTAGATGCGTCAATTTTCGTGGATTTTTATCTATGAGGTATATAAATTTTCGAAAGTTGTTCTTAATCAACAAGAAGTTTTTATTGTTATATTGTATTTTTTATAGGATCGCAATAAATTCAAATTTTTTTTTTGATAACTTATCATAATTCAATTTATTTGTCCTAAATGTTAGGAAAATGATGACAACTTCAATATATACTATTATATACAATACCTTGTTGGTATGAATAAATCAAATATTAAATTTATGTCTATTAATTCAATTCTTAAACATGTCCAACTTATCAAAAATATTTTATGAATGCTTCCTTGAGTTGGGTTATAAAGTGTTCGATAAATTATTAAAATCAGGGCTGTGTTCCTGCGACATGGTGGTTGGAACACGCTATTCAAAATTATCAGAAACAGTTCACAACCTGCATGGGGAGACCGCTGCACTTAAGGATGAACAGTCCTGGCACGGAATGCTAATTGAAGGGGTGTCACAGCAGCTCAACAATTTAGCATCAAGCTATGATAGCCTAGTGCAAATTACAACCAAACTCAGCTCAGGGGAAGGGACTTCAAATAATACAAAAACAAATACTAATCCTCTGTTTGAAGCAAATGGTGGAATCCAAGCTTGGCCCCTGTTTGATTCCCATTACGTAGGAAATTTAATGGGAGGAATAGTGTTTTTTTGAAAAATGAGTGGTTAAAAAAGAATGAAAAGTTTTCGATTTATGTGTAATATTATTTTATGGAAGATTGTGTGGTTGAAAATAGGAGATAGAAAAATGAAATGTAATAGAATTTAATGTAATGAGGCTCAAACAGGAGCTTGATCTCTTCGACTGGATTTTCCTCGTTTTGAAGGAGGAGATCCCAACGAATGGATCCTAAAGGCACATCAATTCTTTAAATATTTCGACACTCCAGAAGCTCACAAGCTGGGAATTGCTTCCTTTCACATGGAGGGGAAGGCGCTGACATGGTACTCTTGATGGAAAGAGTCAAATCCGGTGGTCACTTGGGATGGATTCTTGTTGGCTCACCGCACCAGATTTGGACCTTCAGCATATGAAGATCCAGTTTGGGCATTTACCAAGCCGAGGCAGACAGGGAGCGTTGAGGAATACCAAACTGCCTTCGAACTCCTGTCCAACAAAGTAAGTGGGGTAAGTGAAGATTTTCGCATAAGTACTTTCCTAAGTGGCTTAAAAGATGAATTACGAATTATTGTCACCATGTTCAAACCAAATACCCTCTCGGTTGCCTTTGGTTTAGCACGATTACAAGAAGAGGAGGTTTTCCTGAAGCAATTTCACCACCAAAATCACCCAGCCCAAAACAGTTCCCACGCAGCCTCATTCAAGCTTTCCCATCTCAGATTACCAGCACAAAATCCCACACCCAGATTACTAGCCCCTAACCCAGTACCAAGACTTCCAGCCCCACCAACCCTAAGACTTAACCCACCATTCCACAAAAAAACCCCTTACCCAATTAAACGCACAAGTCCCAATCAAATGCAAGAAAGAAGAGAGAAGGGCCTATGCTATTTCTGTGATGAAAAATACCATCAAGGACACAATGTAGCAGACCCAAGCTGTACCTATTAGAGGGACTAGAATTTGAAGAGGAAGAAGAGAAATTGGAGGCAGAAGAGACCCTTAACCAGCCAAATACAGCAATTATACTTGCGGGGCAACAAGTTGAATTATTGGGCATATCATTACATGCTATTGCAGGAGTACCTTCGCCCAAGACTATGAGGTTAGTTGGCAAAATTGGCACTTGTTCAGTTATTGTTCTTGTTGATACTGGAAGCACGCATAGCTTTATTGATGTAAATGTAGCGAGGAGGGCAAACCTACCAGTGGAAGAAGGCCACCTGGCAGTCCAAGTTGCTAATGGAAAATAAGACCAATGTTATTGGGTGAAGTGCAATCATCTGGGAAAAGATTCCTTGCCTTGGTTGCTGTAAGGCATTTCTCTTAAAGATGCAAAGTTGTAATATTCTAGCCGATCTATTTTTATTAACCCTAGGGGGTGTGATGTTGTACTAGGGGTAGATTGGTTGAGAAGTTTGGGGACTATTCAGTGGAACTTTGCTAATTTAAGTACGAGTTTCTTTGTGGAAGGGAAACACATATTTCTACAGGGTCTAAAGCTGCCCGAGAAGGCTATAGAGGAGGAACACAGCTTAAGCAAGGCTGCTATAACAGAAGGAAGAGGACTATGGCTGCAGATAATGGAGATCAGTGACCAACCAGGAAAGGCACCAATAGAGCCAGCCATACAAACTGTTTTGAATGATTTCAACAGAGTGTTTGCTGAACCCAGTGGACTCCCACCTCCCAGGAATCACAATCACCGAATCCAGCTCCAGGATGCAGCCAAGCCAACATGTGTTAAGACCTTAGCGATACCCTTATTACCAAAAGGAAGAAATTGAAAGATTCGTCAAGGAGATGCTGCAGGCAGGGATCATACAACCAAGCCAAAGTCCTTATTCTTCACTAGTCCTATTGATAAGGAAAGCAGACGGAAGTTGGCGCATGTGCATTGATTACCGGGCTCTAAACAAGGATACTATCAAAGATAAGTTTCCCATCCGTAACATAGATGAATTATTGGATGAGCTTAATGGTACTGAATTGTTTTCTAAACTTGATCTACGATCAGGCTACCACCAAATCAGGATGAAGCCAAAAGATATGCCCAAAACTGCTTTTTATACACGAGGGGCATTATGAGTTCTTAGTGATGCCTTTTGGGCTCACTAATGCTCCGTCAACCTTCCAAGGGCTGATGAATCAGATATTCAGGCCATATCTAAGGAAGTTTGTATTGGTTTTTTTTTTACGATATACTTGTGTACAGTAAATCTATGGAGGAGCATGTAGGGCATCTCAAGGCTGTCCTAGAAGTTTTGAGACAACATCAGCTGTATGCAAAGGCTTCCAAATGTGTCTTTGGATGCCAAGAAGTGGAGTACTTAGGTCATGTTATTTCCAAGGAAGGGATAAGGCAAATCCATTGAAGATTACAGTTATAATAGAATGGCCTGAACCTAAAAATCCTAAAGCTCTAAGGGGATTTTTGGGTCTAACAGGTTATTACAGGAAGTTTGTGAGAGGATATGGAAGTATTGCAGCCCCCTTGACTGCCCTACTCAAGAAGAATTCTTTTCAGTGGAGTGAAGAGGCCAGTCAAGCTTTTGTGATAGCCATGGTGACTCCTCTTTGTCCTTGGATTACCAGACTTCTCAAAGATGTTCGTGGTGGAGTGTGATGCCTTTGGAAATGGGTTGGGAGCTGTTCTCATGCAAGAAAGGTGGCCTATAGCTTACCTAAGTCAAGCATTGAAAGGTAAAAATTTATTTTTATCCACTTATGAAAAAGAGTTACTAGCCCTGGTACTAGCCATTAGAAAATGGAGGCGCTATCTATTGGGGAACAGGTTCAAAGTCAGGACTGATCAGCAAGCCCTAAAGCATCTTTTGGAGCAAAAGATTGGAATACCATTTCAGCAAAAGTGGATTTCAAAACTGTTAGGTTTTGATTTCAATATGAAATATCGTAGTGGAAAAGGAAACAAGGCAGCAGATGCTCTCTCCAGGTTGCCCAATGGACCAGAACCAGAAGTGAACCATGCTGACTATGAAGAAACCAAAGCCATCAGTATGGTGACATTCAACTGGTGGGATGGGCTCCGACAAGTGTACCAACAAGATCCTCAGTTAAGGCAGTTGCCGGATCACCATCAACAAGGAAATCTTGACCCTCTCAAGTACCAACTCAGAGGAGGGTTCTTATTTTTCCGAGGGAGGTTGCACTTGGGAACCTTAGAGGAACAACAGGAGCAGATCATGCAGCAATTCTACAGCAGCCCCATGGTGGGGGGGGGGGGGGGGGCA